AATATGGAGTCTCTAAACTCAATTACAATCATTTCATGGTTGGACTAACTTTTATTCCAACTATTGTTGCAAACAAGAGTTTGTACATTTCTATATATCTCTTTGTTTGCAATTGTATATTTTTATTTATCTGTTGTATTTTACTTCAAATCACTAGATTTAGATTTATTTTTTTTAAAAAAAAAATTGGGTTTCATAAAAATGACACTAATAAGTATCATTATACCATTATATATCAACTATGAAATTACTTCTATTCAGTCATTGTGTTAATTGAAGTTTGCTTATGTTTTGTTTCCTTCACATCTATTTCCTTTTCCTATTTGTTTGTTGTAACTTCAATTTTACTTTACCAAAATGTAAAAAACAAAAAATACTCTTTTGTGAAAAACAATTAGTAATTTTTAAATAGTAAAAGAGATCTTCGAATGCTGATTATTGTTTCGAGTACACTATGACTTGTCTTGTATTTTTTCATTGTATTACCATCCATCCAAACCTTATTTCATCCAATAAGTTCAGCGATCTAAGTGAGAGAAATATGTACATAGTGCTTACAGGATTTATAAATAATGCTTATAAAATTTGAATATAGTACTTATATAATATGTACATAACACTTTTGGGATATATACATAGTACTTATAGGATATGTACAACTAGCTATAAATATATTTACATCTCATCATATTGTCAAATTCTTAGTTGATGAAATTTTATATTTAGGGTTATTTGGTTGTTATTAATATAAATTTTAATTTAGGGTTTTAGAGCTAATAAAAGGTTGGTACTGATTGTTTATAGGGTAGAGGAATTCATTTAGGGTATGTACATATTATTTATATGATGCATACATAGTGCTTATAGGATATGTATGTCGTATTTATATGATATGTGTGTAGTACTTTTAGGATATGTATATAGTACTATAAGATACATACATCTTATAAGTATATGTACATCTAATCATAATGTCAAAATCTTAATTAATGAAGTTCTATATTTAGAGTTAATTGGTTATTATTATTATAAATTTTAATTTAGGGTTTTGGAGCTAATAAAATGTAGGTATTTATTCTTTATAAGGAGAAAGAATTCATTTGGGGTAAATATATATTACTTATAAGATATGTACATAATGCTTATAAGTTAAGTACATAGTGCTATTAGGATATGTATATAATATTTATATGATATGTACACAATGCTTTGGGGATATGTGATAATAGTTATAGGACATATTTTGGGATATATACATAGTAATTATAGATATATATATATATAAACATCTAGAAATAAGTACATGTATATGTCATCATAATATACATGTTGTGTTTCTTTGCCTATTTGGGATAGTTCTTTTTTGGCTAGTTTTGCTTTCATTGTGGGCTTAGGTCTTTTCTTACTTTGTCATGTACAGTCAATAAGCATATACTTATTTTATTACTAACGACAAGCAGAGATTGGCTTTTCTGTATCTTACTAATGATTTTTTTTTTAATAGCAGGTGTAAGGGTTAAGAATTTGTTAGCAAATTTTGGAAGGTTTTCTTATTGCTTTTTTATAACGTGATTGAAAGTAGGGATGAGTTTGGAATGAATGCTACATTGTATCTAATATAGTCACCTTTTCTTTCATACGGGTCATGCTTTTTTCTACTTTTAATTGAAATCTCCGTGAAAGGTTGAATGTATTTGGCCTAATTTTTGAAGGGATACAAAATTTAAGTTTAGGTTGAATTCTTAAATCAAATTTTAGTGAAAGTCCAGTTCTTGTTTAATTTGAAGTTCCATTTGATTTAGGACTACCCTTTACTTAAGCATCCACAATCAAGCCATAAAAAAATTAACAATCAAGAATCATAACAAGGGAGAAAAAGAAAGAGAGAAAAAAAGAAGCTTTTGGTATTATAAATTGTTTGATGCATAAGATAATGAATATGATAGTATGATAATTATTCTATATTATATTTGATTTGTAACTAATTGAAAGATATAAAATTATAAGAAGGATTATAATCCTTTTGGTTAGACTTGGTAATTTTACACACAACATGATAATATGATACAAAAATGACATGAAACAAATATTATATAGGTTTAATGTAATTGTGTTTTGTGTAATTGTATCAATACGATTAAGACATGACATTATTTGTGTCGTATTCGTGTCAAATAGTAATGACACATTTAAGATACGGTACTGTTCATAACATAAAAAAATTTAAAAATTATTTTAATTTATTTAAAAATAAATTAATAATTATATTTTTCATATCATTTGTGTTTAAAGAAATTATAAATATTTAATTTAAAATAATTTTTGTTTAAATACTAATTTAAATGATATTTTTTGTTCAAATAAATAGATTAATCGTGTCTAATCATATTATTTGTATATAATTGTGTTAATCGTGTCATATTATGTCGTATTATTGGGGTAATTAATCGTGTCGTGTCATGTCATGTTAGTTGGGTATAAATTAATTTTAAATGTATTAATTATGTCATGTTGTGTGTAACAAATATAAGAAACATGTCCTATTCGTGTTTAAGTTATTCATGTCATTTGTTTATTCGTATCATGTTCATGTCAAAATTATTCGTGTCATGTCTAAAATTATGTTTGACATAAAACATGACAAGATAACATGAATTGCCAAGTCTACTCTTGGTATAGGATGAGTCAATCCATTCAAAGTGGAGAGGATTATTTTTAATCCATGGAATTAAACTTATATGTCTTATTATACCATTAAAAATTACATCAATAATCTAAATTATATAAATTTTGAGAAAATATAATTTTAACCAATAAATAAATTATCCTATCTTAATCCTTGTACATATCAAATCTAGAGACTTTCGAAATTCATTCAGGTAACATAATTATTGAACCTATCTCTGATAATTTTCTTAGTGTTCTTGATCAGCCTATTGTTATAAGAAAAAGTGAGATTATGTACTCAGCATCCTATTTGTAACTTTGTTTCTTATGAAGGGTTGTTTCCTACTTACTAAGTATTGGTTACATCATTAACCGATGTTCATATACTGAATACCATCTAAGAAGCGCTAGAATAACCAAAATGGAAGATTGTGATAATGGAAGAAATGCAAGCACTAGAAAAGAATGGCACATGGAAAATTATTGATCTTCCCAGAAAAAATAGCCCAATGGGATGTAAGTGGATTTTTATTATTAAACACAATATAGACGAAAGTGTGAACAGATTCAAAGTTCATATCTTATGTGGCTAAGGGGTTCATTCAGTCTTATAAGATTGATTATAAGGAGATGTTTGCTCTTGTAACAAAATTGAATTCTATCCGTGTGTTATTATCACTTGCTGCAAACCAAAATTTGCTTCTTCACTAACTCCATACCAAAAATGCATTTATGAATGGTTATCTAGTGGAACAAGTCTACATGAAGATTCCTCCAAGGTTTGACAACCAAGACAACATTAACAAGGTGTGTAAGTTTTAGAAATCCTTATATGGCTTCAAACAATCTTTTTGCGCTTGGTTTGATTGTTTGACTCCTAAGACTATTAAAAAAAACGGATTCTTAAAATGCCAATCCGACCACATTATGTTTTTCAAACACTTACCAAATAGCAAGATTGCTATTATGATTGTTTATGTTAACGATATTATCCTCACAATAGATTATGAAGAGAAAATAGTTTGATGCTAAAGAGTTTGAAATAAATAACTTGAGACAGCTTCGATATTTTCTTGGCATAAAAGTAGCTCGATTAAGAAATGATATTTTTGTTTCTCAACAAAAATATGTACTTGATCTTCTCAAAGAGACAGAGATGCTCGGGTGTAAATCAATAGATACTTCAATGGACCCATATGTCAAGATGAGAACCAGAGATGGAAGTTCTCTTGCAGACCAAAACAAATACTAGAGACTTATGGGAAAATTAATTTGGCACACACTAGACTTGACATTGGCTTTTCTGTAAGTATGGGGAGTAGATTTATTAATAATTCTATAAAGACACACATGGAGGCAGTATACTGATCCTTTAATACTTGAAAAAAATTCGGGCAAAGGATTGCATTTCAAAAAAACACTAAATAAATATGTGAAGATTTTTTTCAAATGCAGATTGGGCTGGTTCTGTGACAGATCGAAGGTCAATTATAAGTTTTTGTACATATGTGTAAGGCAACTTGGTCACCTTGAGGAGCAAGAAATAAGCTGTGGTAGCTCAAAATAGTGCTGAAGCTGAATTTTAGGTTATGTCTCACTAAATTTGTGAAAGAATTTCACTTGAGGGAATGCTACAAAAATTGAAGAAATCAATTGGGAATTCGATGAAACTATTTTGTGATAATAAAGTAGCTATTAACATTGCCAAGAACCTTATTCACTATGATGAAACGAAACATGTAGAGATTGATCGTCAATTCATCAAAAAGAATATTGAAGAAGGCGCAATCAAATTGGTTTACACTCTAATAGAACATTAAATAGCTGGCATCCTCACCCAAGCTCCTCATTGTGGCAATTTCGAGAATTTGAAATCCAAGTTGAGTATGATTGATATCTAATATCCAACTTGAAAGGGAGAGTGAAAAATCAATTCTTAACTAAATTTGATTAGCTATTATTCATTTAATATTTTTGTTGTTTCATAAATAAAAAAGATCTAATTCATTGACCAAATTCCTACTTGATAATTTCCATTTTTGTTAGAAAAATTTTAGGTGATTTATTATTTTCTCTAAGATATTATGAGATTTGTCAGATTTAATGTTTTAGCTATATATATATATATATATTCTTGTACTCTAAAAGTTTTTTTTTTTAATTCATAAATAAAATTCTCATAAATTTCTTCACCTATAGAACCTTAAAAGTAATTCTAATTGAAGTCTAATTTCTATAAACACAAACACTCAGCCATTAAATTCTGGATACTACAAAATTTAACAAATTATGATGAATACTTGTTTTTATTATGAATTTTTATACAAGGAGAGAGAGAGAGAGAGAGAGAGAGAGATCAGCCTTTTTTTTTTGCGGTTTATTTAATCAACTTCAAATCAAATATGAATGAATAGCTATAAGAATCACAAAATGTGACAAGCCAACTTAACCAGCCATGGCTCCATTAACTCAAATATGGATGAATAACTACAAGAATCAGCAGAGGGAAACTAAAAACAAATATCTATTCTGCTTTGAGTTGCTTTTGTCCACCACGCATAAGTGAAACACCAAAGGATCCTACCATCCCAACCACATAACCAGCCACAGCTCCATAGCTCACACAGATAGGCCAATCCTACCAAGAAAGGTAATTAAAAACATCAGCCTTCCAATAGCTAGAATTCTTTATATATGCATTGCTGCATCCAAACAAACAAGTCAAATCAAAATGAAACTCCCTCCACAACTATGTAAGGATACTCAACAAACATGAATATATTATTATACTTATCAAGACAATAAACACACAAACATAGAAAACAATGATACACTTAAAGCTTAATGGTCTAACCCAGAAAGAAAGCAATATAGAACAGTATCACTTCATATTTGAATAACTTAAGCCATTTGAAGACCCTTCTCCATTCATAAGTTGTAACAGAGATGGTAGCCACTAAAGACTAAGAAATTCCAGCTTCTGAAGGTGCCTGATGTGACGTATACATTAAGAAAGACATAAGGGATCAACAACGCTAATTGCAGATAGGATTTTTTTGAATGCCAGCTACTCACAACTCACAAGTATCTGGTGTGGAACATAAGGGGACAACAAGATCCCTTATTCTGCCCAATTTATTGGGCCACCTTATTCCTTTCTCTTGCAAGAACAATGACCTCCAAATGCTAACCATGGCTACACATAGTAATGCAGTTCCACCTAAAGCCCCCAAGTGCAGTGTCATTTGATCCACATGCATGAGAATACCGATGAATGCATATACCCACAATACAAAAAGTAGACAATAGACTCTTGGGCTTCATCTATGGACTTGAAATATCTTAAATCCAGAAAACCAAGATCTTACACCACATCCAAGGAGAAAAATGAATCTTGGACAATACAAAAAAAAGAGCAACAGAGACAACAAAAAGATATGCCTGAATATATGTCATACCTCAGGAGAACAAAGTACAATCACATTAATCACTTCTTCAAATCATTAATTTACAAAAATGCTACAAGCAAGATTCATAGGTAAGGCATACTCTGGTTACCCCAGAATGATGTTAGACAGTTAAAGAAATAGACTCAGGCATGCGACCAAAATACAATCGCAAATAAAAAATAGCCTAATTGTCAAGTGCATCTAGCAGGTTTTAAAAATTTCTCAGCATTAAACTTCAACTTCATGTGTAGCTGAACGAACAGCAACTATTGAATTAGTCTGTCCAACAGAATATATGCAGAAGTTTGGATATACCTGGAAGATGATAATTTAGTGAGGCAACCCTCTAGTAGGACTGGAATCTGTTATTACATTTATTTAAGTTTCATTTAGTAAGTTTCTTTGAAAAAAAAGTTTCATTCAGCAAGTCATTTCTAAGGCAATCCTCTAGTAGGACTGAAATCGGTCATTACATTCAATTTAAGATTCATAAAGTTTCTTCAAGAAAACAAAAAAGTTTCATTCAGCAAGTCATTTGTAAGATCAACTTGCTTAACCAATACCCTTAATTTAGGGTATCAACTCTATTACTTGGAAAAACACCATCGAAACATAAATATCTTTGGAGGAGACATGCTGAAGTAATATTTTGTGTTTTGTACCATATATGTGTTTGCTCCCTCAACGGTTAAACCCACTTGTCCATACATATATTACTCAGACTTGGGGGTGAGTGTTGGACTCAGTTATGTGTATAATAAAAGAACTAGCTTCAAAATAATGATTTAAGGTTGAACTCATTAATCACATCAAAAACTTAATGAAAAAATCCAGCCATAAAGGAAAGGGGTGGTAAAGAGGGAGAGGGGGAGAGGTGGCAAAAAAGGTATTATACCAAAACAAGAATCCAAAATTGGGCAAGGTAATGAACATAGATGGCAATGAGAAATCCATTCCAATTGTGTCCATTAATGATAGAAAAACACATGAAAATTGGAAACTAAGGTCAAAACAAAATACTTTGTCACAAGGAATTAAAGGGACGAGATGGTACCTGCCATGGCCTTTCCCAATCAAGTGGCATAGGCCAAGCACCAAACCAAGCTCCAATTACAGCTCCATGTGCTGGTAGACAAAGCATAAAATCCAAGGATCCATTTGGCCTAAGAGAATGATATCAAATACCTATATCAGCACATATTAAAATCCTTGCACGAAAAAGTGTATTCAATCAAACATTATTTAGGTAAAAAAGTAATGCGTACATGGATAAGACATACATCTCTTTTTCAGTTAATCAGCTTTCCATTTAAAACATTCAAATATGGTTCCCATTTATAAGGCAAACCTAATCACATGTACCATAAATCTTTGATCTTAAAAACTGCATGTTATGAAACTTTACTGTCATTTCAACCAGTGAACTCAAGCTTTAGATTCATTGCTATAGCATGATTAGTGCAATGGTTTAGCAACTTGAGCAAACAAATTGGTATGAAGTTCCAAAGGCCAACCTATTGCTAGCTCACTGACTCACCATCCCTCTCCACACGCACAGACCTACACCAAATTGAATGTACACTGTCTGTAGGCTATTTGAGAAGAATATATCTCTCTGTAGAAACAGTTGCAACATATTTCAAAGAATGAAGCCCGTCTGTTTCACCGTGAGTTGGTAAACAAAACCTTATAATGTTATAATATGGAAAAGATCAAGGTTACTACCAAGTCTCATATACCATGCAAAAAGAACATGATAAAAAACAAGAAGCATACTGCTCATGGCAATTGCGGAGCCAGTCTTAACAGAAGAAGAACTTACTTTGTACATGCAAATATGCGATGCCAATCTTTCCAAGACGAACCATAAACAGAAGCTGCAGGCACAAACTGCAAATATGCACCAAAATGTAATTTACTGCCTATAGGGAATAGAAGGGTTCAAATTGCTAGTAATTTTGAAGAACACAACAAAACTAGAATTCAAATTATTATGACATAGCTGATACTCATCTCAATACTGCCAATTGCCTAAAAAGAAACAGGAATAAAATGATAATCATCATCGTATCCTAGTGAAGATTGTAGAAAAACAAGGGAAAAAAAGTAAGAGGATTGCATTTAAAAGATACCTTTCGGGTTTTTACAAACAAAACAAAATGATATAAATATAAAAAATATTGCTACATAAGTATGCATGTCCAACACCCAATAGAGTTGGACATTAAGAATTCAAATATGTATGTTAATGCTGAAAATTTCCTACATAATGTCACAAAATATACTATAAATATACAATGGTATAATTATGAAAACTTGGCTTCTTACAGTGAATAAAGACATCAGAAGAGACCAGTTAAGGGTCTTTTCTAAGTATCTGCATCCAACAAGAGAGGAAAAAAAAATTAATGCATGACTTTACAATAATTAACTTCTAAACCAACAATGAATAGCAATGCTAAGACGCTGATTATATCCACGCTAAATCACATACTGCAAGCCGATGGGTGCACCCAAAGCTAATGCTCCAAGCGCATTTAATAGAGCCCCTAGAAAGTGAAAGACATTCAAATTATACAACTCTTCTGGTAAAATTTATAGTTCTGAAAAATCATCAGCTTAACACTAACCGGCAGGCAGTCCCAGCAGACCTTGGGCAATAGCTTTCAAATACTGTAATAACCCAACATAAAACAATATCAAAAAACACCTAAAATAAGTAAATAGTAACAAAATTCATTGTGATTTCAGCTAACCGAGCATTTCTCCTGTTTCTGTCTAAAGCAACTGAAAAGAAGGATAACAACTGGCAATTCACTAGCCTAACAAGAGAGAGAAAAAAAATTAAAACATGAAGAAATTAACGATAATGTAGAAAGAAAAGTAAGTGAAGAAAAAAGTACCCAGATCCAACAGAGGGTGTTTGAAGGATCAGAAACGAGATTGATGGAGTAGACGTTGTGAGCCACCCAAAATCCAACGGCCAAGACTAATCCGCAGCAAACATGGGTCAGAAATACCTGGGAAGATGATATTGTTGATTGGGAACTCTTCTCCTTCTTCATTTCTTTTGTTTGAATTTTTTTGTGTATTTGGAAGGAAAACCCGACTTTGAGACTTCGACCCGCTCCTGTTTGCGATCAGTCACGCTTTGGATAAGCCCTACTTGATTGGCTTTTTTTTTTAGAGCAACCCAAAGTTTCGTTCTCAGAAAAGGTAAAAGAAACAGAAAAAGGTCATTAACCGGCTGCAACACGGCGGAGTTGCGTCAGGAAGAGAGGGAGAAAGTTTTTGGAGGGGTGGTCGAATCCAGGGTGGAAGAAAAGCTTAAAAAGAAGTAGGAAGCGACGCCGTTTACGTGAAAGGAAAAGATGTATATAAGAAAAACAACAGGAATGTTAGGACTGCTCTATTCGGCCGAAGGTGGGCTTGGGTTGATGTGGCTTCATTTAAGTCGCGTCAAACTAAAATATCGTAACATGGTAAATATATATATATATATATATATATATATATAAGATCTAATGTACATATATTTTTAATTTTTATTATTTAAATGAAGACACGTGAATAATGTTAATCTCCTCGTCAATCCATGTGCTTTTTACATCTACCTATGTCTAAAAGTGAGTAAAAATCGATTCAAATCGATTTAATCGACTGAAATTAATGAAATATGATCATTTTGGTTTAGTTTAATCGATTTTCGATTATAATCGATTTTAAGATCGATTAAATTAGTTAAATCGATCGGTTATCGATTTTCAAAATTGATAATCGAATTAACTGAATTAATCAATTTTATAATAACTAAGGGTAAATATATAAATTCTCATAAAAAAACCTTAAATTTAATTTACTTTTTCTAACTCATCGTCTCACCCCACACACGTCGTGCCTTTTTTTTGCTCTTTGCAATTTGCTCCCCCCAGTCTCTTGCATCTTTGCCTCCCTCTTACTCTTTTGCTCGACTGCTTCCCTCTTAATCTCTTGCTCTCTCTAATTTGCTGCATAAGATCAGACAATTGTAGAGATCGATCTTCCTTTGCTGCCCAAGACGGCATCATAAGTTCCTAAATCTTGATAACCTTTATTTTTTCTTTTATAGTGATACTATGTCTTTGTTTAGAGCTGTATTCTTCCTGTCTGGTCTATCAGAGATGCTTTGGGGAAATGGTTTGTGGTTTTGTCTTTCAAGACTACAAGCTGTAGTTTTCTTTGTTGACCACTGGAAAGTTCTGTCCTCATCCTGTTTTATGGATACGAAAGCATAGGACTTGTGGGGGAGAATCCATCCACTGAGCCAACCCCTGTTACTATCTTGAAAGGGAATAGATGGTTTGTCCTGTTCATTCCTGCACTTTTTAAACCGTCTTTTCTTTTTCTTTTTCTGTTTAGTCATAAGTTAGAAAAGCCAGTCTCCTTTAAGTAGTAAGCCTGGGGCAGCCCGCCTCTAATGCCAATTCTTGTAGCTCACTTTCTGAAGTCAGGGAAGAGTTGATTGGAAGGGCGATTCCAAAACATGGTTTCTTGCTTTAGTCCGGTTTTCACAGTGATTGTGAAAGTAGGCTCGCTTAAAGATAAATAAGGAAGGTATTCAAAGGGATGCTAGTAAGTCAGAAAAAGTAGTCTTTCCATGGCCCGGTAGATTAAGTGGGGACTGTGTGATGAGAGCTTTCCAGAAAGCCAGTCGTGGTAGGTAGGTAGGATTTAACCCTTTTCGTTAGCGAATTTCCTTCTTCGCTTTGTTCTTGCCATCTAGTATAAAACAAGTCTTTTAAACCAAAAAGTCAGAGTACTTCACACTTTTCTTCCAGCTTTTGTCCTCTTTTCCTATTAATGTTTCCAATAGCTCGGTTTAAGAAGTATGGAAAGATTTCTTTAAGGTCTTATCATATATGAATTGGAATAAGAATAAAGTAGAAAAGCACCTTACTAGATCTAGCAACTAATTAATCTAAATTGTGCTAGATACTTAAATTAAAAGCTAAAATAAATTAGCATAAACTATACTAGATACTTAAATTGTTCATTGATAAAACAAACAACTAATATATAGTTTGATCAACAAACTATTTCATTATTTGAATATCTAATGTGTTCAATAATTGTGTGACCACTACTTTATTATTGTTTCATTATTTGAATATAATTTTATTTTTATTTATTATTTTAATATATTTAATTATTTATTTTTTATTGTTTGGATATAATTTGATCACTTGTTTTTTTTTTTTTTAAGATGTCAAATGAAGTAAATGATATGATTTTGGATTCTACACCTAATCAAACACAATTGGCCTTTCAACTTCCTGCACATGGTGAGGTAACAAAATGTGAAACTGCAAATTTCAAAGTGATGAGACAAGCATCTAAACCATGGTCAGAGGTGTGAAAGCACTTTACTAAATTTGTTAAGGAGGAAGGTAATCGTAAAGCTAGGTGTAATTATTGTGACAGAGAATTTTTTGCTGATCTTAAAAAGAATGGAACCACTGCATTAAAGAATCACATGAATTTTTGTAAAAAACTTCATCGTGTTAGTGGGGATGATGGTACTCAAATAGAATTGGTGTTGCCGTCAGGAGGAGCAGAATCTTTAGGCACTTGAAAATTTAATCAAGATGTTGTTAGAAAAGCTGTAGCTAAAATGATCATTCTAAATGAGTTGTCATTTAGATTTGTGGAGTCAGAAGGATTTAAGTATTGTATGTCAGTTGCATGTCGTAGATTTCATGCACCATCATGATGGACAGTTGCTAGGGATTACTATCAACTTTATATTGATGAAAAGACTCATTTGAAGCAATTCATGACATTATTTTCCACAATAGTATCTCCTACCACTAACACATAGACCTCATTACCAAAGGTTAATTATATGTGTCTTACGACTCACTTTATAAACAAAGATTGGAAATTAAATAAAAAGATATTAAATTTTTGTCCTATTTCTAGTCACAAAGGTGAAGCTATTGGTAAAGCGGTTGAAAAATATTTGCGTGATTAAGGGATTGATAAGATTTTTACTGTTACAGTTGATAAAGCTAGTTCTAATGATGTTGCAATTGCATATTTGAGGAAAAAATTTAACAATGCTGAAACTAGTATTTTGGGAGGCAAATATCTTTATTTGAGATGCATTGCACATATTGTTAATCTTATTGTTTGTGATGGAATGAAGGAAATGAATGAACCAATTGCTCATATTAAAGGGGCAATAAGATATGTGAGACAATCACCTTTCAGGTTAGCTAAGTTTAAGGAGTGTGTTGTGAATGAACATATTCAAAGTAAAAATTTATTGTGTTTGGATGTTAGCACTAAATAAAATTCTACTTATTTGATGTTGGATGCAGCTCAAAAGTTTGAAAGGGCATTTGATGCATTTGATGATGTTGATCCTTATTATAGATGTGAGCTTTTGATGGGAGATAGGGTGCCCGATCAAAATGATTGGGTAATTGTTAGGAAGTTTTACCTTTTTTTGTAACAATTTTATGATCTCACCGTGAAAGTTTCAGGTATTTTTTACGCCACATCTAATACTTTTCTTGATGATATATGTGATGTTTATTCCACTTTGCGAGAATGGCAATTAAATCCTGATATTGAGTTGAATGCAATGACAAAGAAAATGAAGATAAATATGATAAGTATTGGGAAAATATAGAGAAGATGAATATGTTGGTTTATATTGCTTCTCTTCTTGATCTTTCAAAAAAGTTTCTTTTTGTTGAATATTACTTCATAAAAATGTATTTTTCTAATGAAGCTTCATTGATGATTAAAAAAGTACAACTAGCAATAAAAGACTTATTTAATGAATACAAAAGAATGTTAGAACCTCAATCTGAGCAAGTTGGTGAAAGTAGTCAAGTGAGCCAAATGTCACAGCCTACCAATGATGAAAGTAGAAATGGAATGACAAAAAAGAAGGAAAGTTTTAAGTCCAAGTACAAGAGGTAGAGGATTGAACATGGCAAAGATGAACATAAATCAGAATTGGCTAAATATTTGAATGAAGAGCCTGATGATGATGATAGTGATGACTTTGATGTTTTAACTTGGTGAAACTCAATAGTCATAGGTTTCCTATCCTTTCCCATCTAGCTCGTGATGTATTGATAATTCTTATATCTACAGTTACTTCCGAATATGCTTTTAGTACCAGTGGTCGTGTGCTTGATGCATATAAGAGCTCTTTAACTCCTAGAATTGTGTAAGCCCTTATTTGTGCGATTGGTTACGTAGATCTTCTAATCTTGATTCATTTCAACTTGAAGATGATTTGACATAGCTTGACAAAATGGATTTAGGTAACATTTTATTTATACCATCATTTTATTTTTTAAGGATTATTATTTTTTATTTTTTTATTTGTTTAAAGCTTACTTTTGTTATTTTTTGTTTATATATTTTTAGATTTGTCAAAAATTACCTTAGATCTAGAAATTGATTAAGATAAATGTGCATAGACCTTTTGAGGTAATTTCATTATTAATTTCTATGAATATTTGCATTTAAAAAATATTTATTGTATTCTTTGACAACTAATTAAGGTTTTGATTTCTTTAACATCTTAGGAAACAATGAAGGCTGTGTACCATAGTTATGGGGTTCATATATGAAGAATGATGTTAGAACTTGAAATGTCCTTTTAATTAGCTTGTTTTATGTTTTTTTATGAATTTTTATATCCATTTGCCAATTCGAAGTGTCCTTAACTTGTTTTATGTTTTGTATGAGCTGTTAGCTCAATTTGCCAACTTAAAATGTCTTTTATGTTTTGCACCAAAGTTATGAGAAACATATTTGTTTGATTTGCATTTTTAAGTTGCCCTGTTGACCCTTGAAAACTTGTTTATGTGTTGGAATGACAATTTTTATGTATTGATGACTTTATTTGTTATTTGATATATGTTAGAGTAATACTTTTTAAAACTTATTGTTTAATTTATTTTGATTAAATAAGTTTAGATGAGTATTTATTTATCTTTTTTCTTGTAAAATATTGTAGAAATTATTAAATTTTTTAGTGATTTAGTTTGAATGGTATGTGAATTTGAGTTTTATTGGATTGAATTTATAACTAAATACTTATTCAAAATAAGAGAAAAAATGATGAAAAATTCGGTTATTTAACCGAACTAACCAAACAGAACTGATTTTTGATCGGTTCGGTTAAATCAGTTAGTTAAAATTTTGTTGGTCGGTTCGGTTACTGATAGAATAAAAATTGATTAATTCGGTTATTAATTTTTTCAGATCGAATTGATCGAACCGACTGACTGCTCACCCCTACCCATGTCAGTTATAGCTCATTATTGATTACATGTGTTAAGTCTATTAAGTATTCTATTTCTTTTTATTTCTACTCGTATATTTATTTTGCATTTATTAATTTTTTTTGTTCAATTAATAAACTAGCTATGCTT